TTGCTCCAGGGGCCTCTCAAGCTAACAATCACAGAAGACACTGGCAGAAACTGACTGTTCAAATGGTCCTCCTGCTCAGAGGGGGTAACCTGCAGCCATTCGCTTTGACTTGGGCTAAACAGAATTCTGAGAAACACACACACACACACACACACACACACACACACACACACAGCCTGCTTATCTTACCAGAAAGAAGATGAATTTTCTCTGCCTTTCAGCCAGTATTAGAAGTTTATCAAAAAACACCCTCATGTCCGTTTTTAAATTGCTCTGCTCTAGGCTAAGCTAGCTCTGCATTAACAGTACTTTAAACTTTCTTCCAAAGCACCTTCACCTAGTTTTGAATGTCTCTTACAAAAGTCTCCAAACTTAGCAGACACTATCGTGAAAGGGACCAAACCCTACACCCACATTTTTCAGATGAGGAAATAGAAGTCCAGAAAGGGGATGCAATTTCTCCAAGGTCAGGAGCCAGTGGGCTGGTGCTGAATGAAATTCAGGTCTCTCAGTATGCTATGACATCAGAGCTTCTTGACCCTCTCCACAGTAGCACCCCTAAAAAGGAGCCCAAGTGGGAAGGAATGTGTTTTTTTAAACACTTTTATTAAGCTACAATTCACATACCATACAGTTCACTCATTTAAAGTGTACAGTTTAGTGGCTTTCAGTATAGTCCTAGAGTTGTGTGTTCATCACTGCAATCAATTTTAGAACATTTTCATTACACCAGAAAGAAACTATATGCCTTTTAGCATCTCCCAGACACCCACTCTTTCCAGCCCTAAGCAACCACTAATCTGCTTTCTGTGTTTATGGCTTTGCCTGTTTTGGGCATTTCATATACATGGAATCATACAATATATGGTCTTGTGTGACTGATTTATTTCCCTTAGCATAGTGTTTTAGAGATTCACTATGTTGTAGCATGTATCATAACTTTATTACTTTTCATGGCTGAATAATATTCCATCATATGGGTATACCACATTTGTTTATTTAGTAGTTGATGGACACTTGAGCAGTTTACATTTCTTGGCTATGATGCAAAATGCTGCTATAAATATTTGTGTACACGTTTTTGTGTGGACATAATATGGTAGAATTATATATATATATATATACACACATATATATATATATACACACACACACATATATATATACACATATATATATATGCACATATATATATATATATGCACATATATATATATGGTAGAATTGCTGGATCACATAGTAACTCCGTGTTAAACAGTTTATTTGAAGAGATGGCAGACTGGTTACAAATGGGCTCCACCAGTTTACATTCCCATCAGCATTACAAGCTTTCTAATTTCTCCCCATCCTCACCAACACATATCATTCTCTCTTTTTTTTTTCTTCTCTCTTTTATAGAGAGAATATTAAGAATATAGCACATTATAGTGGAAATGAAGTTGTATCTGATTTTGGCTTTGAATTGCATTTCCTTGATAGCTAATGATGTTGAGTATCTTTTCATGTGCTTTTGGATATTTGCATATCTTCTTTGGAAAACCATCTATTCAGATCCTTTGCATATATTTTAATTGGACTATTTGTCTTTGTATTATTGAGTTGTAATAGTCCTTTATGTAGCCTAGTACTGTGATAGGTCATTTGATATATGACTGGCAAAAATTTTCTCTCATTCTATGGGTTGTCTTTTTACTTTCTTGATGGTGTTCTATGAAGCACAAAACTTTTTATTTTAATGAAGTCAAGTTTTTCTGTATTTTTCTTTCTTTTTCTTATGCTTTTGATGTCATATCTAAGAAAACATTGCCTAACCCAAGGCCAATAAGATTTATGCCAATGTTTTGTTGTAGGAATTTTATGGTTTTTGCTCTTACATGTAGGTCTTTGATCCATTTTGAGTTAATTTTTGTAGATGGTGTGAAGTAGGTGTCCAAATTCATTCTTTTGCGTGTGGCTATCCAGTTGTCCCAGCATCATTTCTTAAATTCCTTCAATGAAATGGTCTTTGCACTCTTGCTGAAAATCATTTGACTAAACATTAGGGTTTGTTTCTGAACTATTTATTCTATTTCATTGATCTGTATGTCTATCTTTATGTTAATACTTTGCTGTCTTGATTATGGTGGCTTTCTAGCTTTGAAATTGTGAAATGTCAATCCTCCAACTTTGTTCTTCTCTTTCAATATTGTTTCTTTATTTTGAGTCAATTGACATTTACTATGAATGTTAGAATCTGCTGCTCAGTTTCTGCAAAGAAGTTAGCTAGGATTTTGGTAGAGATTGCATCAAATCTGTGGATCAGTTTGGGAAGAATTGCCCTCTTAACAATATTAAGTCGGCCAAATCATGAATATGGAATGTCTTTCCATTTATTTCGGTCTTTTTAAACTTAACAATGTAGTTTTCAGAGTATATATTTTGCACTTTTTTGGTTAAGTTTGTTCCTAAGAATTTAGTTCTTTTTGATGCTATTGTAAATGGAATTGTTTTCCTTAATTTCATTTTTTAATTTTCTCACTTCTGCTATATAGAAATACAATTGGTTTTGCATATTGATCTTGTATACTGCAACCTTACTGAACTTATTTATTGGTTCTAATAATTTTTAATAGATTCCTTAGGATTTTCTCCATAGAAGGTCACATCACCTACAAGACAGTTTTTCCTTCTTTACTTTCCAATCTGAATGCTTTTTATTTTTTTCTTGCCTAATTCTCCTGGGTAGAACTTACAGTGTTGAATAAAAGTAGCAAATGCAAATGTTCTTATCTTTTCCTGACACTCAGGGGAAAGTATTCAATCTTTCACCACTAAACATCATGTTAGTTGTCAGGTTTTTTGTAGATAACCTTTATTAGGTTGAGGAAGATCCCTTTTATTCCTAGCTTTTTGTTTTTGCTTTTAGGGTTCTTTTTTTTTTTTTATCATGGAGCAATGTTATTTTTTATCAAATATCTTCACCCTATATTGGATGATCATATGGTGTTTGTTTTTTATGCTATCAATATAGGAGTAATACATTAACTGATTTCCAAATGTTAAACCAATTTTGCATCCCTGGGATAAATCCCACCTGATCATAGTGTATAATTTCTGTATTGCTGGATTTTATTTGCTAGTATTTTGTTCAGAATCTTTGTGGTTCTATTTATGAGAGATTTGGGTCTGTATTTTTTTGGAGAAGAGTGTCTGGTTTTAGTATCAGGATAATATTAACCACATAAATAAGTTAAGAAATGTTATCACTCTGCTTCCATTTTTTGGAAGAGTTCTTGATAAATTGTTAATAATTCTTTAAATGTTTGGTAGGTTCACCAGTGAATCCTATCTGGTGAAGCTATCTGGTCCTAGGCTTTTCTTTGTGGGAAGTTTTAAATTACTAATTCAATCTCTGTATTTGTTACATGTTTCTTAAAATTGTCTATTTATTCTTGAGTCAATTTGGGCATTTTGTGTCTTTCTAAGAATTTTTTTATTTTATCTAAGTTATCTAATTTATTGCCATGCATCTGTTCATAACATTCCCTTATGATCCTTTTTATTTCTTTTCTTTTTTAAATTTTGTAATATGTTTTATTAAATATAAAAATGTTCAAATTCTTAACATGGAAAAGAATTTTCAAGATCGCCATACAAATCACAAACTGAAGAAAATGCTGAATTAAATATCAATAAAGTGTTAATAATCTTTCAAAGGACCCACAAAATCACTGAGAAAAATACTGAGTCCTAGAGATAACAGACCATCTATCATTGCCTATTACCTACCAAATACGATAGATAAGTCGTGTTTTGTTTTGTTATGTCAGTACAGCACACATATATATATATATATATATACACACATATATCTCTTAACTTCTGGGGTACATGTGCAGATCTTGCAGGATTGCTACATAGGTATACACATGCCATGGTGGTTTGCTGCCTCCATCCCCCACATCACCCACATTAGGCACTTCTCAGAGAAGTGCCTTTTTATTTCTTTAAGTTCACTAGTAATGTGAGGACATGGTTTTAATTGCCTAATTCAAGAGCACAATGTATTTAAAGTCTCATACTTTTTTGTTTAAAAAGTCATAGAATATATCTATTTTAATACAAAAATAATATTTAACATTATTGAACATTAAGCAAAATTGAAGTGCCAGGGAGAGTTCCCATATTTACATCCTTGTTTTACCACCCCATCCTCCAGCAAGGCCTGGATCCCCCTATGTGAGATGCATCATGACAGGATAGATTGTCTTCAATCGGGGTTTCCTAGCTCTTTCCAGGACAGCTTCTCTGTCCCTAACTCTGCAAAGATCCTGTGTTGAATTACCAGGGCTCCACAGTAGACTCATAAACTGGAGAAACAGGACCAAAGAGCTAACAGGTTTCATTGTCTAGATTGATGAACTCACAAAACATTTATCTGCTCTCATAAGAGGTGGGGAAAGGCTACGCTGTTAGTGGGTGTGTATGTGTGTGGAGTGTATCTGTGTCCTATGATGGAGGTGGCAGCGCAGGAACACCTGTAACTGTCATCTCCTTTCATCTCTGGAATAACAACAGCAAAAACTAAGGGATCCAAGTGAAGTATTTTCCTTTGAATAAACACCAGAAACGAACATTTCTAACAGAGCTACGTTTCAGATTATTGACTTTAATGCAGGTCTTGTTTCTTTCAACTTCAGCAAATGAGGTCATAGCCAATATTCAGATATTCCCTGTAGAAAAAAAAAAAAAAAACAAAGAAAAGAAAAACCCAACATTGAACTGTGTTTTAGAATAATCTGGTTAACTTTAGCCTGGATGGTTAAGTGTCGTTCACATAAACCTGATATAGAAGTGATATTTAATGGATACATTAGCTGTAACATTTCCTTCAAATCCTTAAAATTAAACATTCAAATTAATCACTCAACTTCAGTTCCTAGTAAAGATATTCATAATTAATGTGCGTTAAATTCATCGTAATAAAAATATATTCAATTTTCTCTCTTTATTTTTCTTAGAAAAACTGTTCTTGAAAACCACCTGCTATTTAATCATTGACAAGTTTGGATCAGATATCATAAAACTGTGAGTATGCCATGGCACATAACTGATTCCATTGCTGGGGCATGGGAGGAACAAGAAAACTGGGAGGCAGGAGGCTCTGTGTTCGGCTTGCTGCGCTTACTGGACGGGGCTCGAGCTGTTATTCCAGCTCTTGGCAATAGTGGACAACTGGAACCTGATTTGGATCGTTTGTCACTCTACGCAAAGGCTCCCCTTGAATTACAGTAGGGCAACCTGGCTCAACTTCTCTCCAAGAGCCTTTCAGATGGAATTTCACAAGCAATTCCAGCACCAAAACGACCCTATCCTATTGGCTGAACTTGGGCGATTGACACTTTCTCCTGAGCTGTCCACCTCCCTGGATTCCCAGGCCACCTCCTCTCTCCCTACTTAGCTGGTTTCCTGGCTTTTCTCCACCTCCCCACTCCCAGCCCTTGCTCCTTGCATCATCACGGTCTGCCTTTTCATTTACTGTTGTTGTTTTTTTTGAGCTCAGGGCACTGAATCAAAAAGCCCTATTCCTCAGTTCATGGCACTCTCTCATCATTGATCCATACATGGCTGTCTTACACTTATTATTTTTTTACTTAGTTACCTTGAATACTGAAATAAGCTCCAGAATCTGCCACCCAAAACATGGTCTAGGACCTTGACATTAACATCTTCTGTCCCTATGGACCCTCCCCTTTATTCTCAGGTTTTTCCCACCCCAGTGAGAATCATCCTAAATTCCATGTTCATTCTTCTCCTGCTTTCTATAAAAAATTGTAGAGGTTTTCCATAGTTTTATAATGTATAAAATATTAAAATATAAAGTATTTATCATCATAATACATATTATTATAAACATTTTATAATTTATTATACATAAATTACATATGTTTGATTGTGTTCTGGTTTTAACTCTTGTGAACAGTGCTCCTAGGAACATTCTTTTTTTTTTTTTAAACTTTAAGTTGTGAGATACATGTGCTGAACGTGCAGGTTTCTTACATAGGTATATATGTGCCATGGTGGTTTGCTGCACCTATCAACCCATCATCTAAGCCCCAAATGCATTAGGTATTTGTCCTAATGCTTTCCCTCACATTTCCCCTCACCCCCCAACAGGCCCCAGTGTGTGATGTTCCCTTCCCTGTGTCCATGTGTTCTCATTGTTCAACTCCCACTTATGAGTGAGAACATGTGGTGTTTGGTTTTCTGTTCTTGTGTTAGTTTGCTGAGGATGACGGTTTCCAGTTTCATCCATGTCCCTGCAAAGGACATGAACTCATTCTTTTTTATGGCAGCATAGTATTCCCTGGTGTTTATGTGCCACATTTTCTTTATTCAGGCTATGATTGATGGGCACTTGAGTTGGTTCCTAGGAACATTCTTACATGATTCCTCCTCAATGGGCCATTAGCCTTAGAGCAGAGATGTTCAAAGGACAGCATCGCCCTCTACAACAGGGTATCCTAGAGTCATCAAATTTTAAATACAGAAGAAAGTTAAAATCATACAGGCAGGGAGATCATCAGTGATCTGTCATGCTATGCACCGCCTCTCCTAATAGTGATCTCTCTGTGTTATGGCAAACAACTTTTCATAACCCCTGGGCTGTGTTTGGAAGGCAGGGACCCTTTATTCTTAGCTAGTGGCATTACTATTGCCACTGCCTCCTAACTGGACTCCAGGCCTACAAACGTGCCCATTGTTATGCAATTTCATAAGCTACATTATAGCTAGAGTAGTATGTTTTAATGCAAACCTAACTATAGTACTCCCTTAATGTAAAGATTTTCAAAGTCTTCACATCCTCTGCAGGACTCCTAGCTCCACACACAAGGCTCATCAGTAACTGATTTCTGAGGGCATTTCTAGACTCACCCCTTGCCACGCCATAGCACACCACACTCCAAACCACTTGTGGTCTCCCAACACAACAGGAGGTTTCTGACTCAGGATCTTTGTATGAGATGTTCACTCAGCTTGGCACGTCCAAAACCTCTACTCCTTACTTCTACCCCAAACAAATCTTATGGCCCCACTCCCACACACACAGGCAAACAGGCACATATACATACACACACACACAAACACGTGCACACACACAGACATGCACATATGCACACACACACACATGCATATAAGCACATGCACACTCTTACAGACATGTACATTCGTGAGCATGCACATTCTCCTAATACCCTGTGCAAACCCTTAGCATGGCACTTACCTCATCTGTTTGTGACTGAATTATCCATTTACTCTTCTAAGTTGATAACTAGATGAAAAATCTTTTGAGGGATAGATTTTTTGAGGACAACATTTTATTCATGTTTGTATCTATCTGCAGCTACTTAGCAAAATACTGACTATATGTTTATGAAAGTACAAAAGAAAGTAAGAAAAAGAGGTAAGAAGGGTTGGCAGAGGAAAGGAGAGAGTTTTGTATCTCCAGATCCAGGTGCAATTCTTAAGCATAAAAAGTCTGCAATAAGTGTTTGTTGAATTAATGAATTTTTTAAAAAAGTATGAATACAGATGAGCCATGACTAGACTGCTCTGAAGAAAGCTATTTAAAAGTCTAAAGACAGAAAGAAAAAATCCCTTTTAGTCTATTCGGTGAATCAATTTATACACCTAATAGGAGCCCAGATCCGGAAATCAGACCAGCAAGCTGAACTCCCAGAACTCAAAGGGGCAGTACATGCAAGTGTCCAAAAGGGGGTGCCAGAGAGCAGCTCCCAAGAGCAGTGTGGTGGGAGTTATAGAGAAGTGGCCTGGGGTAATTGAGACATAGCTTCCTCTTCTGTAGAGGGGTGAGTGTGAGAATCAGTGAAGCATAAGGATCAGAGAAAGGACAGACACAGTACTCATCACTGCAGATGCAAACTGTACAGCATGTGAACTATACAAGAGATAAGCGGGCATAGGTGTAGAGAAGAAATGGGACCAGCAAGTCTCCAAAAGAGGGACCCACTCCTGAACATGTGGTGGGGATGGGAGGAATCACATTTTTCTTTTTAATAAAGAAACTAATTCTCTTTAGAATGAGGTGGGCCACTTTGAAGAACGACAGATATAATAAATGAACAAACGACAGCTGTCTGATCCCCCCTTCGTGGTTCTGTCTACCACGTGTTTTGTCCATAATTTCCCACTATGTTTATTAGTTGTGAGCTGATAGAAATTTTTCCTCATTGGACATGTTCTGCATACAGCTTGTTTTAAGCCATCAGACACAGCTCGAGATTGATGTAGACCCTGAAAATGACAATCTCATGATTTAGTTTTACTTGAATATCAGTCTTTCAATATTAAATGTATTTTCTAACCCAAAGGGCATCCTTTCTCATTATTTCACACCACTCAGTTCTCAATAATTCATGGACTAATTATGTAGCAATTACATTTCCTTCCCATAGGCAGAGCCACAGATGTTAAAAAAAAGGGGGGCACCCGAGAACTCAGGGGTACCCCCAAGAACCTGAGTCATGCAGGGAGGAGCTACTTCATGGGGAAACTCAATCCCAGTCAGTGACCACAGCTGGGTCCCCCTCTGTGTGGCCCAAACTGCCACTGCTCTCTCCATTGCTGTAGCAAGCCTGACTCTGGTCTCTGTCTGGCTGTGTTCCTTCCTGGTATCTATTTATGCTTCCCTCTAAATCACAAATTCTTGTGTCCTAAGCCCAGGAGCTCTCGGAGATCA